CAAATATTCTTAAATGCCTATAATTGGTAACAGAAGCCATTGGTTTATACCAACGGCATCCCATACTTAATACTTCTTGTTTTCACTCTCCTGTGGTCATATGTGACGTCATGAGCTGCGGTGCGATTTTCGCTTCCAGCGTCTTATAAGCACGAGTTTGTCGTTGCTTGGAAATCTTCCATGTAAACGGAAAAGGACTATCATCCCTTTCTTGTCCGTGTATTGCTTAATATATTGTAATGTAATTGTCATCTTTGATAATGGCTTATGCAAGCCGAAAGCTTAGATTAAAAAAATATGTATCAATATTGTGATTTTCTTTCTTCGTTTAATGATAATGTTATTAAGCTTATCAGACGATATGAAAAGAATTTACATAAAATAAATAGACAACACTTGTCTATATTATTTAATGAAACATGTATCAATATATATATATATATATATATATATATGAAGAAATATATTCTTAAGGTGTGCTATATTTATGGGATAAAGTGCTCAATACCAGGGATAGAGCGTGTGTAAATATAAAAGTGAACATTGAAGTCAACTCTTAGAGGCGACACTCTGTTTCATGCTAGACGCAATCGTCAGGCCACGAGTGATGTTATTTTTCTCGGCTATTATATACGGATCAGTGGTGCATTGTGGGTAGTCTCTTTTGGCAGTTATTTTGCCGGAAGTCGTTTATTTGTTTATTTATTTATTTATTTGGGTTAATTTATTTTGCTTGTAATTATTTATTTTTAATTTTATATATATATATATATATATATATATATATATATATATATATATATATATATATATATACGTGTACCGGATATAACAGAAAAATTGTCCAAATCGTGTCACAGCATAATTGTCCATCCCACAAAATGTTTAATATCTAAAACAAAACACTAAACTAATTGAGTTTTTTTTTCCACGTTTTCAGATAAGATGTTTAGCCATCTTTAAACCATTTGCTGTAAGAATCACTGAAAAACAAAAAAAATATATATATATATATATATATATATATATATATATATATATATATATATGGTGGGGGGTTTCATTGTGTCAGACGAAGAATAAAATCTTATAAATTCTCGAAACCTTTTATAAGAAAAACAATTAAAACTAAGCATCAGCCATAATTTATTTATCAACGTACCGCTTGGAAATGGCTAATGGATTGGTCAAAAGCGTTTGCGACAGTAATCATCACAGACAATTTCTACACTCTTTTAATCCTTAAAAAGAACTGTATATATATATATATACATATATATACATATATATATATATATAGAGAGAGAGAGTCCCTTCCAAAAGTATTTGAACGCAAGGTCAATTTCTTCGTTCTTGTTGTTCACTGACGAGATTTGAATTTAAGATCAAAAGATGAATATGAGACAATAGTTCAAAATTTCAGCTTTTGTTCTATTTTTATTTAATCTACATTTAGGGAAGTTAAACATCTTAATGCATATCACCTTTTATTTGAACTCATCTATTTTTCAAGTAAATAAAAATATTGAAACATATGACTGTCAGGTATTTCTTGCTGGCCAGGTGTTGCTTTTAGCTTTATTGTTTAAACATTAAATAGCTCGTGATTTTAGCCTCGAATTTCACCTATAAAGACTGTATTTCTTATTAAAACGGATAAAACTTCATGAAGACGAGTGAGTTGTCTATGTGAGAAAAGCCAGTCATTTTGAAGATGGGAAAAGAAGGAAAATCAATCAGAGCTATTGGGCAAATATATATCAAGGTCAAGACCAATAACATTGTAGATTGTTCTTTGCATTTTATCCAGAATCTACGAATGGTAGATTTATAAATATGTAGTATAGATTTTGTCAAGAAAAATTGTTTTGCACGACATATTTAACCAACATCCTAACAACAGACCTAGCAATTGATTCAATATAAAATTTTCACTTCCCGCCAGCGGAGAACGTTAGCTAGAGAAGGCGAAATGTTACTCTTTTGCTAGTTAGCATCAGCCATACTGATAGAAAGCAGAAAAAAATTCTAGATTACTCTAACAAAAAATATAACCAACCGAAAATTCATGTAAATTTAATCATTTTCACACATGCAAGGCAATAAAGCCACTAAGACGAAAGTTCATCAGAACAATTGCCATGAAAGGATTTATAAAAAAAAAAAGTGAATGTGAAGTTACCTTACAGTGAGAGAGAGATTGAAAGAATATAATAAAATATTAAGACTATAATAAAACGACAGGAATGAAGAAGAAAGAAAATAACGATAGTCATTGCGTTTAAATTTTAATCGTTTCTCTCCAAGCAAGGCAATGAAGCCACTAAGACGCAAGGCGTTACTGAGTGTTAGGGGATATGTAAAAAAAACTACTAATAAGGAGAGAGGACAATAAAAGAACAAGAATTAAGAAGACATAAGATAACAATTGACATTGTATTTAAATTTTTGAAAATCAAAGGCAATAAAGCCACTAGGACACAAGGGGTTACTGAGTGTTAGAGAATATGAGAAAAATTACTATTAAGGAGAGAGGACAATAAATGAACAAGAATTAAGAAGACAGAAGATAACGATTGACATTGCATTTAAATTTTTGAAGATCAAAGGCAATAAAGCCACCAGGATGCAAGGGGTTACTGAGTGTTAGGGAATATGAGAAAAAACTACTATTAAGGAGAGAGGACAATAAAAGAACAAGAATTAAGAAGACAGAAGATAACGATTAACAATTCATTTAAATTGTTGAAGATCAAAGGCAATAAAGCCACTAGGACGCAAGGGGTTACTGAGTGTTAGAGAATATGAGAAAAACTACTATTAAGGAGAGAGGACAATAAAAGACAATAATTAAAAAGCCGGAAAATAACGATTCGCATTGCATTTAAATTTTTGAAGATCAACGTTGACAGGAAACCAAGAAGCCGGAAGAGACTCCAACAAGCGAGAAGTGCGATAGAAGAAACTCTTAGCATAGAACTTACGGTTCCATCTAACCATTTCAACTGTAAAATGATATGACCTTGCTGCCAATTTACTACTGCGCTTAAATTCATAAAATCCAGGTAATATAGAGGAAACAATATTTATTTTGTTTTAATATAAAAATGTGGCACTAGGCCAAAAGGAGTGGGGGTTAGGGCTGGTCTTCAATTTGAGTTAAACTTAGCTAATCACAATTACTGACCGAAACAAACCACAGTATTCCTTACACCAAAACAACACATTCTTACTTGCCATTCTTACTACAGTCCACATAATACCTCATTGTCTCTATGAAGTCCTAACTATGTACAATTTTTTTCTGTCCGGTGGAGGAATAAAATAACATTAAAGAAAACAATGAATATTTACAACTGGATTTTTTTAGAGGAAAGTTCATCACAACAATTACCATGAAATTATTTCTAGGATACGCACAGAGAAGTTACATTATGGCGGTGCGAAAGATAGAAGAAACTGTTAGCATAGAACTTACGGTTACATCTAGCCATTTCAATTGTAAAATGAGGAGACCTTCCCACCAATCTCGTACTGAGTTTAAATTCATAATGTCTAGGTACCATAGCATGATAGTTCATCGGAACAATTACCATGAAAGTATTTATAGAAACAGCACAGGGAAAATATATTTTGGTGGTGGGAAAGTGACTGAAGCCGACATGCCAGGTCAGAACCAATAACATTGCAGATTCTTCTTTTGATTTTATCAAAGATCTCTAAATATATAGCAGGAACTCCATACTATATGTAGCGAGAAGTCCAAGAGAAGAAACTGTTTGCATAGAAGTTACGGTTACATCTAGTCATTTCAACTGTAAAATAATGAGACCTTTCCGCCAATCTAGTACTGCGATTTAAATTCATAAAGTCTAGATACTATAGAGGAAAGATCATCAGAACATATTTTTGTGATATGTATCGGGTTAACTTTCCTTTGATGTTTTTTCTTCTTTTTTTTTTTACTATTAATAAAAAAAAAAAAACAGATTCCTTTCTCACATACAACAACACCGTTAGTTGTATAGAAGAAAAAAATCTCCAAGATTACGCCTACAGAAAACATTTGCGAAATGACTTGAATATTTCTTTTCATTTTTGATGTCATGGGTGAACTGTATATTTAGTAAATTAAATATTAAATAGAATTTACGGTCAAATAGATTTCATTCAAGAAAAAATTTACTTTCAAAAGCTGAATACACGGGATTAAAATATTACACGCTTAGTTAGGTTTTTCGTAAGTTATGCTTGAAAAATAAGTAACTCAGTATATTTTCTTTTTGTATATTTTTTTTTAAACTGCGAAAATAATTTAAAAGCTATAAATAAACATTTCTTATTCATTTTTTTTTTAAATATCTATCATCTGTATTTCAAAATTTGATCCCCTATAGCTGAATTTCAATGTCCCATAACCAGACGATCATGTAACATAAAGCCCCGGAAATCATGCCCCGTGCAATGACGTCAGAGAACTAAAAACAAATCGAAAATACTGCTTTTTCAAGAAGAGAACACATGTTTGGTCTTTCATATGTACTATCGTTTCTACTAGCTACGATGAAGTAAACTTAGGCTGTTGGGAATTCGTAGAATTGGGAAGGGGGAGGTTATTTTTATATGACGTTCTCGTGTGAGAGAAAGATATATTTAGAGAGTGCATGTTGGGATTTCCCAAGTCACTCTCTCTTTTTTTTCTTTTCTTTCTTTTTTTTCTGCAGCAATGCGTTTGAAGTGTTTCGACAGAGTGAGTTGATTAATTCCAGACTTTTTTTCTTTTCTTTCTCTTTTATTTCTGCATCCGTGATGTCATTTGCCCGGAAAAATGTTCGCGCCTAAATCCGACCACGTAAAAACAAAATGTCCTGGAGTTTGTATATAAGCAGAGCATCATCGCAGTCTCTTCAGTGTTTTGCTGAGTCGAGCGAAGGTTCGTGTCTAGAAATCTCCAGCAAATCGTCACGTATCATCACTACAATAACTCAACCACAACAATGATGTTTCGACCGCTACTCTTCATAGGAACTCTTTGTTTGTTTGGGGTAAGTTTCGATTTCTATATATCTTTTTTTTATTTTTATTAATTCGCCATTATCCGTGATTTGAACGGTAAATGACATTATGATACAAATTAACTAATTAATATTATCACCCTCACACTCTCACGATGACAGCTTCACACACGATCACAAATAGCATAGAACCTCGCACGGTATCATGAAATTCATCTCGTAAATTATACAGTCACCTCTAGACTTCCATACTTTTTCGGAGGGGGTGGGGGTAACGGGAAACATTCACCCTGTAAGGGACACCACTCTGAACTGGACTTTGATTAAATTTCGCCTTCAGGCCCCCAAAAAAAACTATTTCCATTTTGGAAGCGTAGCTTAGTTTGGTACAAGGACAACAAGCACGAGACACCTACTCACTAATCGGTAGAAATGGTCAATCCAAATAGCTCGTTAACCATTACCGTCAAGGCGTCATATTAATTAGAAAGCTACCCTTAGTTTGACTTGGTCAACAATCATAGGGCATTCAGTGAGGATAGAACTCACTAATCAGTAGATATGGTCGATCATACTAGCTCGTTAACCATTACCCTTACGTCGAGACGCACTGTTATTGAGAAAGCTTAACTTAGTTAGACATAAGGTCAACAACTATGGAGCAATGTGTGGGGATATAAGACACTATTCAGTAGAAATGGTCAACCATACTAGCTCGTTAATCATTACCATCACGTCGAGGTACCCTGTGTCTTAGGAAGTTTAACTTAGTTTGGCATAAGGTCAACAACCATGGGGCACCCAGTGTGGATAGAACTCACCAAACTCTAGAAATAGTCACCCCTACTAGCTCGTTAACCATTAACCCCACGCTGAGGTGCCCAATTATTTAGTAAGCTTGACAATTTTTTTTACACAAGGCCAACGGCTATCGGGTATTCAGTGAGGATAGAACTCACTAATCGGTGGAAATCATTAAGATCCCACAGAGGTGCTCTATTATTTAGTAAACTTGGTTTAATTTGGCACAAGGCCAGCAAATACGGGGTACGCAGTGAGGATATAACTCATTGTTAATTATGTACAAGCCCAGTTTGTATGAAGATGAATCAAGCAATACGATGGTGATGAATGAATGTATGCCATCAAGAACCATTTCTGAGGAAATTTCCAACTGGAGAAACTTTTGGCATTGACAGAAGCCTACTTTCACTACAGAAAGGGTTTTCATCCAGTCCCATAAGAAACTTCTATGCTGCGAGAATTGCCAGAAATGAGAAAAAAATGCTTTCATGTCCTGGATATGACCTCTGGATCTTCTCCCGAAAACCAAAGAAATAAAGACAAAAGGAAAACTTACCGAACGCATTTCGTCCTCCGATGGACTTTACCCAGGCAAATGATAAGTTGTCCTTTCGTCTTTATTCATATTGTCCTTTTGCAGTTACATTTTTGCTTATTGGAAATACAGTGTAACCCGGATGTAAGAGAGTTGTCGGGACCGGAGAAGAAGTCTCTTATATCCGGGTTTCTCATATATCCGGGTTTGGTCTATTGTATATACATTAACACAGGCTCTAATTTGGGACCAGAGAAAATCTCTCTTATATCCGGGTTTCTCTTATATCCGGGTCTCTTATATCCGGGTTACACTGTATCTGAAATTTAATATACATACACACACATATATATATATATATATATATATATATATATATATATATATATACGCACACGCCCTTTGCTGTTTTAATGCTAATATAAGTTTTCCATTTTTCTCTTTTCTAGATTGCTGTTCAAGCTAGACCGAAAAGACGTGAGTATATTTTCCGACTTATCTTAATTTATATTTAAAAAGGGAAAAGAAACAAAAAGAAAGATATTAACGTCTGTTTCAGTGAAATGGAAATATTGTGAACTTCAAATCTTTTCATTTGTACACCCTTACTTCTTAAAATAACGACCAGAATTCATATTTAAGAATATAATTGTAATATTTTGTTAAAGTTGTTTAACTGAAATATTTAAGAATGTGGTGGAGAAATTTTTATGGATATTTTATTGTCTTACAACTCGCCATGAGCTTATTAAATCATTAATTTAAGAGTTAAGAATTAACATTCATCAGTGAAATTCGAAAACAGCCAAGGGGAAAAAGCAATTTTTTTTTTTCTTATATTTGCAGAATGTATTGGTAAAGCAGCCGACATCATGTTCGTTTTGGATTCTTCAAGTAGCATCTGGCGTGTGGACTACAACAAACAGCTACGCTTTGTCGCTGACCTTGTAGACAGCTTCGATGTTGGCAGCGGCAAATCGCAAGTCCGAATTGGAGCTATAACATTTAGTGACCAAGCCTATCTGGAATTCCCTTTGGACCGGTACACTGACCCTGTCCAACTGAAAGAGGCCATCTTAAATATTACACACAGAGAAGGTCGGACCTTCACAAACAAAGCCCTCAGGTTACTTAAAGAACAAGTTGAACCCCATTTGACTGAGAGCAAAGGCCCAATTGTAGCCGTTGTAATTACAGACGGCCGGTCAGCACAGCCAGCCGATACGAAAGCCGAAGCTGAGAAACTGCATCAACTTGGCATTCATGTTTATGCTATTGGCGTTGGCAATTCCAAGAATTACGACATCGAGGAACTGAAAGCAATTGCAAGCGACCCGGACAATGGTGTTTATACTATTTCCAGTTATTCGGCTTTGAAAGAAATTACACAAAAGTTCCACATCCAGCCTTGTGGAGGTAAGTCATATCAAATTATTTAAAAAGTCTTTTTTTTATTTCAATCATTTTTCTTCAAGCAAGGCAATAAAGCCACTAGGATGCAGGAGGTTACTGAGTGTTAGAGAATATGAGAAAAATATGGTATTTAGGGTTAATAGTATTCTCCAGTTTGCTTTGTTTCTTACTAAATTTGAGTTCGTTCGTGGTTAGACCAGCCCAGAATTTGGCTGATACCCTAATCAATAAGGAAGTCATGGATAAATTTTTATCATTTCAGACAAAACAAGGCAATAAAGCCATTAAGACACACAGGTTTGCTGAAATGAAAAGTACAAAGCTCACATATTTAAAAAAAAAACTAATAATAACAGTAAGGCCTAAACATAATATGCTGAAATTTTTATGATATGGTTAGACAACCGTATTTTCTTGTGTATAATACGACTTGAGTTTAATGTGCCTTATGGATAATACTAGAGTTATGGCTTTTTGTAAAATAATTGATTTCCTGTATAATGATTTTATAAACTTTTGTTCAAAAATAATGAATAAGGGTTTAATTCAGTTTATTTTTAAAAATGTCAGTCCCAACACAAAATTTTAAAATCTCATATATATATATATATATATATATATATATATATATATATATATATATATATAATCAGATCAGACCAAAGCCTGAGTTTAATAGACTTGATCTGAAACAGTGATCTTTACAATACCGGCTGGAGTATTGTGTTATATGTTATCGCTATAACTTTTTAACTTTTTGTAAAATAATTGATTTCCTGATTTGATGAACTTTTGTTCAAAAATAATAAATAAGGGTTTAATTCAGTTTATTTTTTTTTAAATGTCACCCGCAACACAAAATTTTAAAAATTGTATATGAGTCTAGTACTACTATGACTTTCCAGAACCTTATAGAACTTCCTGAAGCCTTCTAAAACTTGTGTTTATTTATTTGTAAGTTTTTATATTATGCTATAGCTATAAACTGTTAAATGAATTAAAAAAAAAATACATAAATACTATCAAATGACATGATTAGCAAATTGAAAAATAAAGCTTCTGAAATATTTTGATTTTTTATCCTTACTGTGTATATGGTAAAATCAAATTTTCAGTTTTGGGGTGACCTTTTTCAAGAACTAAAACAAATTAATCTCTTTTTCATTACTTTTGAACAAAAGTTCATCGATTTATGACATAGGAACATAGGGTTACAAAAATGTCATAACCCTAGTATAAATTGATTGTATTGCGTATAATAAAACCTCTGTATAATACGTAGCCCGTGTTTCTGAAGCTAAAAACAGGGAATAAATTAAATCCTTGAGTATAATAAGCACCCCGTAGTATAGCCATGTAATTTTGTTTTTGAAATATTGTATCATATTATTCCTTAAAATCTTAATGTCGTACATATATTTTTATTAAAATATTTAAATTTTTCACGATATTAAAGAATAGACAGGAACCGGATGTTCAGCCATTGCAGGTTTCTTTTCCGAATTTCCGTTTCAAAACTCATTTTGGACTTTATTGTGCTGAGTGTATTTGCAATCTTGCTGTTTCAAATAAGTTTTTTAAGCTGAGTAAATTTTTTTGAAAACGCGTACTCATGTATAATACGCCCACTTTATCCATATTATAAATTAAAATCTCAATGTCAGACGAAATTTCGCCGAAATATTCAATTTTTCACGATATTAAAGAATATACATAAACCGGAAGTTAAGCCATTGCTTGTTTTTTCTCTGAATTTCCGTTTCAAAACTTATTTTTGAATTTTCGGGGAAGGGTGATTTCTTGTAACATTAATGTTATTAAAACATCACAGATGTGTATTCCCTTAATGTTTTTAATAAATTTCGGTGAATTTCCTCTGTGTGTGTGTGTGTGTGTGTGTGTGTGTGTGTGTGTGTGTGTGTGTGTGTGTGTGTGTGTGTGTGTGTGTGTGTGTGTGTGTTCGTGATGGTGCCACGAACACACACACACACACATGGTTGGGTGAAATTTAAGAAGTCTACCAAGTGGAGGAAAAGACCTGTGTTGACGCTACTACACCTAGGCGAGAGAGAGAGAGAGAGGGAGAGAGAGTTTATACCCTTTATTTTATAGTCCTGAATAGAATGTCACCTAGCGGGCATCAATGTGGAGATAATCCCACACTGGTTTACATATTTTATTTTTTTTAACTTATTACTTTATAGTATGTATATTGTTAATTCATTACAAAACCTTTGCCTTCTTTTTTCTTCAGAAGAAACCATCACACCATCGGTCGCCGCAGACCCCACGACCAGAGCAACCACTGAGGCTACTACTACCCCGACGAAAGACTTAGTCGAAAAGCCAGGTTCGTTCATTTTTTATCATATTTCTTTGAAAGATTAAAATACATTTTAAAGAAAAGTTATGCATCATTGTTAAATTTACTGATTTTTTTAAAATCAATTTCACCCCATGCAAGGCAGTAAAGCCACTAAGACACAAGAGGTTACTGAGTGCAAAAGAATTAGAAAACAGAAACATTAAAGAACAAGAACAATAAAAGAAGAGTAATCAGGAAGATAGTAGAGAGCAAATCGATTTTTGGAGATCAAAGTTGGCTGGAAAGCATACAGCCGGAAAACGGGATACACAAGCGAGAAGTGCGAGAGAAGAAACTGTTAGCATAGAACTTACGGTTACATCTAGCCAATACAATTGTAAATTGAGGAGCCTTTGTTGCTAATTACTAAAATTCAAAAAGGCTAGGTACTATAGCGAAGAGCTCGTCCGAACACTTACCATGAAAATATATATAGAAAAGGCACAGGGAATCTTCATTGTGGCGGTAGGAAAGTGACTGAAACCGAGATGCCAGGTCAGGACCGTTAATATTGCTGATTCTTCTTTGGATTTTATCAGGAATCTCTGAATATATAGCAAGAGCACCAGACCAGATGTGACATCCAATATTCAAAGCAAGGATGTCGGCTTATAAATATGCAAGATAGATTCTAGAGAGAAAAATTGTCTATCATGACACAGTGAACCAACTTTCTTTGCAGCAAACCTAGCAAATGCTTCATTATAATCTTTCCACTTCATATCAGCCGAAAATGTTAACCCCGAAGACGCAACTCTCCTGGAGAAATTTATTAAATTATTTTCAAAGTGAGAAGACATTTTCAAAGTTAAAGATCATGAAGACAAGGTTATGAAAATCGCTGTCTGAGAAGAATTTGGAATCATACATGCTGTTATCCATTGAAAAAGAATTGTTAGATGAATTAGGTGCTAAAACAATTCTTGACAGATTCACACAGTCATCGAGTGAACATAAACGATTGATTTTAATATAGTGGACTGCATGCAATTGTGTTTGAACTATCTGTTAATGTGTAAATTGTGCCGTAAACTATTTTTAAAATATCAACCAATCACTTAAAATTAAAAATAATTAAATAAATAATTAAATTTATCGCATTCTGTATATACATTTGGTATGTACTATATGTAATATCTATATTACATGTACACTATAGTTACTAAGTGCTGGGTATGACGATAAACTACACCCGATAGCCAAATAATGACGCAATAATGTCGTTTTTTGACGTAACGTCTAAAAACGACATTATTACGTCATTATTTTTGCACCAACCTAATATTAAGAAATACACTTTTTTTAGAAAATAATAAATTTTTCCTTTTTATGCATAAGTATTTTTTTAATTTTATTTATTCGTTATGAAAATTAAATGATAGTATTCTAGTTGTGGATGGTAACCAATATTTTCAGACCCAGTCCACCACTGAACCATTCTTAAATACTCTGACATCTCCATTGTGTAATATGGATCTTGAAGTGCCCCTTTTGCTAATGATAATAAATTCTATAATAAATTCTACTTTTGCTATCACAACTTATAACAATATATCAAAATGTATACTGTTTTAAAAGATGAAACACACACACACACACACGCAGACACACACACACACACACACACATATATATATATATATATATATATATATATATATATATATATATATATATAAAGAAGTATATTAAGGAAATATTAAAAAGGCTTAGTTTTTATTCAACCACTTTGAAGTGATAAGAAAAATAAAAGCGAATTTATATTAGAACCTATAATTATGTTATCTTCTTCGTTTTTACAGTTAAAACTGAACCTGACCACCCAGGAAGAACTCCGCCAAGTAAGTATTTCTCTCTATATATATCTGTGTGTGAGTGAGAGAGAGAGACAGAGAGAGAGAGAGATTAATACAAATATAGAATTTGTCTCTTAGCTGAGTGGTGTTATATTCATTTCCTCGAGAGTCTCGTAGGCGAATATTTGTGTACTTGTTAGGTTTACTCGTCAGGAGATATCAGCAATTGTCTGTCAATTTTTACATTTTCGTTATTTTTATATTACGTTAAAAAAAATAATTTATGCGCTATTTATTAGTGTTAAGTTGACATTTTCTTTTGTGTGTGTGTGTGTGTGTGTGTGTGTGTGTGTGTGTGTGTGTGTGTGTGTGTGTGTGTGTGTGTGTGTGTGTGTGTGCGAGCGCGGGTGTGTGTATACATGTGTGTGTATGCCTGTACGTATTAGGTATGTGCGCATGTGTATGATTTGGACAGGTTGATTTTTTTTCAGTTTCTTTAAAAAAATCAACATGGCTGTCCTTATGAAAGCTGGGGTTTCATGTGATAATTAATAACACCAAAAATTAGATTCATAGCTTTTACCAATTTTTGAGCATTTAGGTTTAAATTTCGTCTGAAAAAAAAAAAGATTAAAAAACCCTAATTTCTGCAGGTTTTTTACTTACAAACTGACTTCAAAATTTTACTCTTTCAAGAATAAATCCAAATAAAGTTGATATTTTTTGTATTAGATATATTGAATGGAAAATATATTTAAACTAAAATTCTAATTATGAATCATCACAAGCAAAATATGTATTTTTTTTTTTACTGTATTCGTTAAGTAAAAACTGTATAAAAATTGTAAAAGATTACAAAAAAAGGCTAATCAAGAAATAAGAATTGTTAGATCATAATTAATAAAACCAAAAAAAATAGGTAAAAATGTATATAACACCATAATACTGCTGGGTACAAGTTATAATATTTTAAATTTGCATTGTTTATTGAAAATCACACAAAACTACTTCACTGTATAACATATTATATCATAATATAGCTAAATTGTTCAGTATAATTTCCCTTGGAAGTAACTGAAGGTCTTATTTGATAGCATAATAATTTAGTAATAATGTGTTTGTGCCATGTATCTTGTCTAAATACAATTTGTAAATTAAAGTAATTATAAATTTTATAAAGTTGTGCTATAAGGCTTTCACTGATCACCGGAATTAAAGTCCAACGCTAAGATTTGCGAACCTAAACTTAATCTTTGAATTCGTTTCCTCAAAAAACGGTACCAAGTTGGAAAGAGATATTTTGTATCATTATCTTTCATGTCAAACTTCAACTTTCAAATTGAGTGTAATATCCCGGTTCCAAAATCGACCTGCCCTAAGAATTCTAAATTTTAAATTACCGTATAAACTTGTGTAACACACGAGCTCGCATATAGTGTCACCCTCAAATTTTCCCTTATAAAAATGATTTTATCAAGTATCTTGTGTATCATGTAAAAGAATATGATAAAAGAATCTTTAGTAACGCTACACTCGTTGTGTAAACACGTACAGCCATAAACAACCGAACGAGAAACAGCTAAACATCTTATAAACGTAAACTATGGAAAAGATGCATATTCGCTGTTTGTATTTTATAATATGATACTAATATGTGGATATTACTTGCATCATTATTGGATTCAGTGATGTTTATTTTAAATACAGCTGTACTTTTTGATTACAGTAAATGAATATATAGTTTGGTCAACGGCGTAGCCAGGGTCAGCAGTACATACGCTAATTTTATATCTCGTGTATAATGCTACCCCCTTAAAATTAGCTTCAAAATTAGATCTTCAAAAGTCTCATGATACGCGAGTATATACGGTAATTTATATAAAAATACCCTAAAAAAAGTTGTCAGAAAAAAAGGCAAATGTATTAGCAGCCTAATCTCCTTACTTACTAAATGTCGTTAAAAAGAGTAAGTTAATGCATCAAAAATACTTACAAAATATTTTCTTTTTCTTATTTTTGCAGGCATTATCCTGTTCGGTTACGACCTCGTTGGTATGGGAGCCTATCGCTCTGGAATGATTCACCAATTTATCAAATCTATCCTCCCATACACCGGCTATGGACACTTCGGTATTGTCTCCTACGGCTACTGCCCATCCAGTTTCAACGTCCCCATCACATCTCTTATGGACAAGAACCCGTCAATTATTAAAGACAGCGTCGTTACTGACGGTAAACTGCCCGATCTTGTCGATGTCGTCCGAAAAATGAGACATGTCTTGTCTACCCGTTCTGCCCAGAACGGCATCAGCGGCCATATTGAAAACCAGGCAGCCGTTTTGTTTGTCGATCCGTCCGTCACCACCATCACCCCAGAACTGACCAAGGAAATCAAAATGCTTAAAAAGAATGGAGTCCAGCTATATTTGGTCAATGTCGGCCGGTGCGCATGGCCACAGGCTGATCGGCTTTACTCTATGAGCAGTCAACCCTACCACAAGTACATGTTCAATTCTCCCTCATACCACCAATTGTTACTCCAAGCTCAACACAACCCTCTCCATTTCAGATCAATCTATAATAAATCCATCCCAAATCGATTCATATCCTAAACAATGAATCTAAATTAACATATCAACTACAATGCAAGACTTTTATTTTATGAAATTTTTATCAGTTTCCATACGTAACTATTTCATCAGAATTTCGATCTCGTTTTAAAACTTTTTCAGTAAAAATGTTCACAACACGTGGGTTCGAATCCTACCAGAGCTTAGTTTATTTTGCAAATATTTTATAAACATTAAAATTTACCCAAAAAAGATATTTCGGAAATAGTTATTATTGGTTTTTTACAATGCAAAAGTTTTTGGTTTTTTTTTAAATTCCGCCTTACTTGTAAAATTACTCGTAAATTAATTTTATATGAGCAGAAAAACGTCAAAATTAAGAGTCATATTGTCTGTATATATGTGAAACGCATTCAGCCCCTAAAGAGGATTAACGTTGCAGGCAACTTAATCTTATTTTCAACTGAAAACTCACAAGTCGTCAAATGTCTCAAGGATTGTTTTATTGTTTCTATTTTTTAAAGGAAAATAAATTTTGATATTAAATTGAAACTGTTTTTGTTTTATTGTATGGTGTGTTTTATTTGTTGCATGAAGTGGGCGTGGCATAAAGTGGGCGGGCCGTAAAAATGCGTAAGCCATGGAATAACGCGAGACTTGATTCTTTCATTACTTAATATTACATTGTATTCAAATTCCTACTTCATCAATTACTCTCTGCCAGTGTCAGAGAGAGGACCTTATCCGAATCATGGAGCTTACGTTCCTGTGTTTGCATTAGAGACCACCAAACCCCTCCCTGTATTACAAATTCTCCACGCTCGCAAAACTGGACACAGGTGTGAAGTCGCGTGCTTCTTCATTCGGCGACCGAGATGAACACTCCACTCAACACTGGCTACCTTGACTGTCTGATGTGAAATCGAGAGAAATGTCTATTCCGGTATATTAATATACAGAAAACAAATAAAAAAGACCGTCGTAGAAAGATTTTAGTTAGGGCAATACTGTTAAAATACTCTATCTGGAATTATAACGTAATTTACAATCTTGTTTGCATTTTAACTATACTGAAGCGAGGGGCTTTGATCGTACTCGCCCAGATAATACTGATTCGATTTTTGTACGTTCCGATGTCTGTTACAAAAGTTGGGAAAATCATTTCCACGTTGAAAGCGGGAATTACTAAAGGCTGAGAATGCTTGTCCAATTCTTCTTCTTCCTCTTCTTTATGTGCCGTGTCCTTTCGGGACTTTGGCGATCATGGCTCTCCACAATTTCCTGTCCTTTGTAGCTCTTAATAAATTTTGTCTTTTTCTTATCTCTTCTAAACCTTGTTCCGCTATCCATTTACTCTAGCTCACTAAGTCGGTTATGCGTTGTTTTCCTTTGTCACTCTTGCCTTCAACCTGCCCTGTGAGTATCAGATTTTCCACGCCCTCTTTCCTCATTATGTGCCTTGGAAATTTCTTCCCAGTGTTAAGTATAAGTTTATTTTCTTTTTGTTCCCATTTTCTCTAAAACTTCGTCGTTACTCACATATTCTCAGCATCCTTCTGTAGAACCAATTTTCTGTTGTTTCAACTCTCTTCTTCATCTTTGAGGAGATTGTCCAGTATTCACTGCCATATAGGAGGACAGATATAACGTAACAGTTCAGTACTCTTTGTTTCTAACGATTTTTTTTCTGTTTCTCAATACTCTGCTTTTGGAAGCCATCTTTGGTTATGCCAATGCGACTTCGGATTTCAGTGTCACACATTTCGCAAAGCATAAAACAAGACGAGCAGCAGTACAAAGCCGGAGAGCACACCAACGGAAACATTTTGAATAAAACAACCAAAATGAGAATGCTAGTCCAAATAATAAAGCATAAATTTAAACAGACAAGAAGGCCGAAAAGTTCAACGGCCTCCTTCAACTGTCTGTCTTTTTCTATGCTTTGCTATTTGGGCCAGCATGCGCATCTTGGTTGTTATGCTCACAAGATTTCGGTCGTTGTAATCTCCGACCTTCTTCGAGTGTATATCGTTATATACCCTCATGCTCATCTTGGTTGTTATAAGAACCATGATGGTCGAATAGCAAAGCATATAATAAGACAGACACCGAAGAAGGCCGGAGAGTAAATCGACCGAAATGTTTTAAGTATAACTTCGAAGATGAACATGCTAGTGTAAATAGCAAATCACTTCTACTCCAACAGCTTCTTCTCTCGCACTTCCCGACAGTGGAACTCCCTTCCTCTTACTTGCTTCCTTGATAGCTATAATCTTCAAATATTCAAATGTAATGTCAATCAACATCTTCTGATGCCTTGATCCTAATCCCCGTCCTTCTCCATATCCTTCTTCAAACACCCCTCTTTACCCTTGCTCTCACTTTCTGTGACCCCTTGCGGGCTAGTGGCACTCCTGACCTTGCTTGTTGGGGGGGGGAGCTTAAAAATATAAGAAAGACACCTGAAGAAAGCCGGAGAGTAACACGTCTGAAAGATGTGAGGATAAACACTTTGATGAGCATGCTGGTCCGAACAGCAAAGTATATAACGAGACAAACACCTGAAGAAGGCCATAACGAACAACGGCCGAAACGTTGTGCGTATAACAATCAAGATATGCATGCTACACCAAATACTAAAGTATATAAGACAGACACCTGGAGAAGGCCGGAGAATGAAACAGCCCTAAACTGGATGTAGCAATCAAAATGTTGTGAGGATAAAAACCAAGACGAGCATGTTGGTTGAAATAGCAAATTATATAATAAGACAGGCACTTGAAGACGACCGGAGAGTAGAACAGTCGAAATCTTGTGTGCATAGCAACTAAGAGGAGCATGCTGGTCCGAATAGCGAAGCATATAATAATACGGACAACCGAAGAAGGGTGGAGAGTAGAACGGCCAAAAACTTCTAAGCATAACAACCAGGATGAGTATAATGGACCGAATATCAAAGCATATACTAAGACACCTGAAGAAGGCCGGAGAGTTCAACGGCAGCAACTTTGCGAATATAACATTCAAAGATGAACATATTGGTTTAAATAATAAGATTTACTTTTTTACTGGTAATGATTGCCACAAGAAATACATCGGAGAAACCTGAAGAAATTTAAATAAAAGATTATATTTTTCTTTCTTTTTTTTCTTAATAATTTCACCCCCAAGCAAGGCAATAAATCCATTAAGATGCAAGGGGTGACTGAGTGTTAGGAAATATGAGAAAAATATACTATTAAGGAGAGAGGACAATAAAAGAACAAGACAGAAGATAACGATTGACATTGCATTTAAATTTTGAAGATCAAACTTGACTGGGAAGCAAGAAGCCAGAAGAGAGATCCACAAGCGATAAGTGCAAAAGAAATGTAGTCATTCCTGATAAACCAAATAAATAAAAATATATTGTTCTACCAACCAACTCTATCATGATTATAATTGAAAAGAATTTATCTAAGCTTAACATAAATTTGTTACAACTACATCTAAAACAATAAAAGACTTAACACAAAACAAAATAATATGCTAAAGCTTGAAGAAGGACTTTTATTCTATTACCTGTAATGATTGCCACAAGGAATACATAGGAGAAACTTTGAGAAAATTCAATAAAAGATTATATAAATACAAAAAGCATATTTTAAAAAACAACGCACTCAATGCATTGGGTGCTCAATTAAATAAGCTTCATGTTGAACGATAACAGATTTATTTATCAAAATTATAACATTATTTAATAAAAAAAAAGACTAATTAAAAAAAAATTTGGTTGGTGGGTTTAAAGGACATTAGTTTTTATATATTATATTTTCGGTAAATTTTCATTTTAATACCCGAGCGTCATTTACTGCTGAACTATTTTCTTTCAGAAATTAGTACGCGTTTCCGTAAAGCGATTTTTTGTACTTAATTTAAGAATAGAGTTAACTTTCAAATATATGTAAACATCGACAAATAAAAGAATAACAAAAGAAAAAAACACCTAACTCTAATTTGAAAGTTAACTACAAGGAATTACTATGAAGGGAGTAAATAGGCCCAAATTGTATGCGTCCACCGAAAGACCAGGAAAAAGTCCGATTTTTTCGGGTCGTTAACATCCAAAAAGGTAGGTTTCTTTAATATCTAATTGTTGATTTGAGTTCAGCATATACATTTGCACGGAAATAAGACTATTTGGGAAAAATTTGAAGGGATATTAGCGTTCGGGTGTTAAAATGAAAATTTACCATATATTCTTTCAAACGACAATTGATCTTCAGTTTTAATTTTTAGAATTTATAACCAATATGAAGAGGGGAAACATGGTGAAAATACTTCTAAGCTTCTCCAATTCTCCTAATTATTTTATATTCAATGCAAAACAAAAGGCTTGTAAAATATTTCAAAATAGAAGAGTGAATCATTCTGGTAAATCCATCAAAACAAAATACATTGTTTTATTCATCTACTTTATCCACAACTACAATTGAAAAGAATTCACCTAAGCTTAACATAAATTTATTACAACTACGTCTAAAACAATAAAAAACTTAATTAATACAAAACAAAATAATAGCCTAAAACTTGAAGTAGGAATTTACTCTATTACTTGTAATGATTGCTAGTAGAAATACATCAGAGAAACAACTAGGAATTTAAATAAAATATTACATGAACACAAAAGGGATCTTTTAAAAAACAACACATTAAATGCTACTTTAATTAAAAAAGAAAAATATTTACTAAGACAAAAGTGTATAAGAAAATACTTTAATTGCTAGATCAGCCACATTAAATTTACATCCGGGTTCTTCTAACATTTCAACGTTCTTAGAAAATCTTCTGTTATGGGATAATTAATAACAAAAATAATAAAAACATGAACAATAAGAAAAAATAATGTAATTGAAATCGCCTAGTACATACACCAAACACATATTTAGAAGGAAAAATTAATTTCAATTTCAAAATTTAGCGTCCTCTTCTCCTTCATGCGAATGTGTAATCATATCAACTTTAACAAGACTTTAGTTCAATGAAGAAGAAAACGCGTCACA